GATACCCTGCAGCCATTGCGGTGTTACATCTAATGTAGCAGTTAGAGTGAGACTCCCCTCCTGCAGCAGGACAAATACATTTTCAATGCAAATCACAGAGAATGATAAAAAAAAAAAACAAGAACAAAGAAAAAAAACATAAAATCTGGTGGGTGAAAGCGTTGTTATCCACCATAAACCACAACCTCTAGCTCCCTTGTCTCCTCCTCCCATGCTCATCTCCAAGACTTCTCTAGAGCTTCCCCCATCCTCTGGAACTCTCTACCCCAATTTATCAGACTATCGCCTACTCTGCTCACTTTTAGGTGATCTCTGAAAACCTATCTCTTCAGGGAAGCCTATCCTGCCCTCAGCTAATAATGGAATCTTCTACTCTCTCTCTCTACTCCCCTACTGCAGCAGGAGAAATAAAATTTCAATGCAGAGCGATAAAAAAAAAAAAAAAAGAAAAACAGAAAAAAAAAAATCTGGTGGGCGAAAGCGCTGTTGTCCACCATAAACCACAATGTCAGTTTTGGGTGGAGTAGCGGGCGGAAGCCTCTATGATTTATACACTGAAACAGACAAGGGATACCCTGCGGCCATTGCGGTGTTACATCTAATGTAGCAATTAGAGTGAGACTCCCCTCCTGCAGCAGGACAAATAAATTTTCAATGCAAATCACGGAGAATGCTAAAAAAAAAAATAACAAAGAAAAAAAATATAAAATCTGGTGGGTGAAAGCGCTGTTATCCACCATAAACCACAACCTCTAGCTCCCTTGTCTCCTCCTCCCATGCTCGTCTCCAGGACTTCTCTAGAGCTTCCCCCATCCTCTGGAACTCTCTACCCCAATTTATCAGACTATCGCCTACTCTGCTCACTTTTAGGCGATCTCTGAAAACCTATCTCTTCAGGGAAGCCTATCCTGCCCTCAGCTAATAATGGAATCTTCTACTCTTTCTCTCTCTACTCCCCTACTGCAGCAGGAGAAATAAAATTTCAATGCAAATCACTGAGAGTGAAACAAAGAGAAAAAAAAATCTGGTGGGCGAAAGCGCTGTTATCCACCATAAACCACAACCTCTAGCTCCCTTGTCTCCTCCTCCCATGCTCGTCTCCAGGACTTCTCCAGAGCTTCCCCCATCCTCTGGAACTCTCTACCCCAATTTATCAGACTATCGCCTACTCTGCTCACTTTTAGGCGATCTCTGAAAACCTATCTCTTCAGGGAAGCCTATCCTGCCCTCAGCTAATAATGGAATCTTCTACTCTTTCTCTCTACTCCCCTACTGCAGCAGGAGAAATACAATTTCAATGCAAATCACTGAGAGTGATAAAAAAAAAAAGAAAAAAAAAAAAAATCTGGTGGGCGAAAGCGCTGTTATCCACCATAAACCACGATGTCAGTTTTGGGTGGAGCAGCGGGAGGAAGCCTCTATGATTTATACACTGAAACAGACAAGGGATACCCTGCGGCCATTGCGGTGTTACTTCTAATGTACGCCACATTTATTATCGTGCCGCTTTAAATTTTCCCAAAAATAGCTAAAAGGTCAAATATTTCCTCATCCAAGCTGTTATTCCTCTCCGCCGCGTATCCAGAAACCTCCGCCATCCAGCCAGAGAAAAAAAAAAAAAAAGCAGCGCAGACTGCAAATTTGTGATTCAGGAATGTTCTGCTGCAGGATCTCCATTAATTGCCAAGGTTCTAATTAGCGGCGGGGCAGGCGGTATGAATGGGGAGGAGGAAGGAGGGTGTTGGATGTGAGTGAAGAGCGATGGGGAAGGAGGGGGACCCTTCACACCTGGGTCTGTCCCCCCTGTATACAGCCGACTTCACCAATCGCCATATATAGTAGAGGCATTCCATGGGAGAGCGCAGGCCGCCTTATATGGTGCTCGCTCGCTTCCAGGGATGATTATGTTCTTTGTAAAGAAGCCCTGCAGCTCCCGGCTGGCTGGGACAGGCGGGGGTTAACCCAAGTCAGTCCGCCGCTTGTGCTCCCAGACTGGTAAATATGTCATTTATACCGAGCGATGGCTGCTCTCCGTCAGGATGGCGTACAAGGTGAATGGCGCAGGGACGACGGCGAGGGCTGCACATCTGCGGAGGGGGGGAGACCCCCCATGTGTTGGAGATGTGTGATGATCCTATCTCCTAATCCCGCCATCCATACAAGGCCAACATACTTAGGTTTAGGCCAAACCGACTTCCAGCGATTCTATAGGCGCCATGTCTTAAAAGCCTTTTTTCCGGTAGAACATTTTTATTTTTATTTACCAGGTTGTCAGGTCTTTCCTCGACCCTCCCCAGTTGCTCGGGCTTGGGATCAGCATGCAGAACACATGTATAGCCATACTGGGCACATATACCAAGACCAATTTAGACAGGAGCCAATTACAGGAGAATTAATAGTGGCCATACACACTTTGACAAATGATCAATTTCTTTTCCGATCAATAATCAATCTATAGTCGACAACCCATGTGATTAGTATGTCACACACAGAGAAGTGGACTTCGATAGTCGATAATCGATAGTTAAGATACAATCTATACTTATCGATACATCTCCGCTTCCACCATGTAATCTCACAATCTGACCGATCAAAATACAATCATAGGCATCAACAAAGTATCTCAGTGCTGCCAATCGATGGAAAACAATCAATAATATTCCTCCCTGGAAACCGAAACAACGTTCCAAATGTGTATCTTATGGCCCGTATACATGATTAAAAAATCGTTTGAAAATTTCCAGTCGATTTTCTGTTCACAGTGCTTTTGACAGCTGATGCTGACTTTTCAGATGTCAAAAAGCGATGCAAGCAAGAAAATTTGTATCGTATGTGAACACAACATCCAATTTTCATTTAATGTGTACAGTAACGTGATGGAGGGACTCTGATGTGATGGAGGGATTCTGATATGAGGAGGGGACCTTTGATGTGATGAATGGATCTCTGATGTGATGGAGGGACTCTGATGTGATAGTGGGTCTCTGATGTGATGGAGGGACTCTGATGTGATAGGGGTCCTTGGATGTGATGAAGGGACTCTGATATATAATAGGACGGGTGTAGGCAACCCGCGGCTCCAGAGCCGCATGCGGCTCTTTTTCACCTTGGCTGCGGCTCCAGAGCACACTGCCCACCAGGTGACAGGCAATAGGGCAGCAATGGGCAAACTACGGCCCGCGGGCCGTATACGGCCCGGCGGACCTTTTAATCCGGCCCGCGGAGCTAGGCTCCCGCTAGGCTCCTCTCACAGTCCGCCCTGAAAACCGGTGTAGCATGAAAATCTGTCTCCTATGAGGATCTGTCCCCCTCGCCGTATCTGCGCATGTGCCGGAGATCGCCGATCGGCTGCTAATGCCTGAAACTGGCACATGCGCAGATACGTTGAGGGGGGACAGATCCTCATAGGAGACAGATTTTCATGCTACACCGGAACGGCGTGGGAACACGGCGAGAGGAACGCGCGGAGCAAAGGTAATTGAATTGACACAGGGGGGACTTGGGGACTTAATATGGGGGATGAATTACTATATGGGGGATGAATTACTATATGGGGGATGAATTACTATATGGGGGATGAATTACTATGGGGGATGAATTACTATATGGGGGATGAATTTACTATGGGGGATGAATTACTATATGGGGGGACGAATTACTATATGGGGGATGAATTACTATGGGGGATTAATTACTATGGGGGATGAATTACTATGGGGGATGAATTACTATATGGGGGATGAATTACTATATGGGGGATGAATTACTATGGGGGATGAATTACTATATGGGGGATGAATTACTATGGGGGATGAATTACTATGGGGGATGAATTACTATATGGGGAATTAATTACTATGCTTACTATGGGGGAATATTACTATACTTACTATGGATGACACATACACATAATTCATCTACTCTTGGTCCAGCCCCCGGGTCCAATATATGAACCCATTGCGGCCCTCAAGTCAAAAAGTTTGCCCACCCCTGCAATAGGGTCTTCTGTGTGCCGGGCGCCCGCTCCCCTCCCTCCTCTTGGGCGGCCGCCCCAAAAGTCAGGACTCTGCAGCTAGCCCAGCAATGGGCAAACTACGGCCCGGCGGACCTTTTAATCTGGCCCGCGGAGCGTGGCAAACATTGGCTGTCAGGATGTAGGCGGGGCAGCGTGACGAACTCCTCTCCTCTCACAGTCCGCCCTGAAGACCGGAACGGCGCGGGAACACAGCGAGAGGAACGCGCGGAGCAAAGATAAGTGAATTGACACAATATGGGGAATGAATTACTATAGGGGGGATGGATTACTATAGGGGGGATGGATTACTATATGGGGGATGAATTACTATGGGGGATGAATTACTATGGGGGATGAATTACTATATGGGGGATTAATTACTATGGGCGATGAATTACTATGTGGGGGATGAATTACTATGGGGGATGAATTACTATATGGGGGATGAATTACTATGGGGGATGAATTACTATATGGGGGATGAATTACTATGGGGGATGAATTACTATATGGGGGATGTATTTTCAGTTTTAAAAATGTGGTGGCTCTCAAAATAAATTTCAATTGTGGTTTTGGCGAGATTTGGCTCAGTTGAAAAAAAATGTTGCCCACCACTGTAATAGGAGGACCTCTGATGTGATGGAGAGACTCTGATGTGATGGAGGAACTCTGATGTGATGGAGGGACTCTGATGTGATGAAGGGACCTCTGATGTGATGAAGGGACCTCTGATGTAACGGAGAGACTCTGATATAATGGAGGGACTCTGATGTGATGGAGGGACCTCTGATGTAATGGAGGGACTCTGGTGTGATAGGAAATTTCTAATGCAATAAGGGGGACCTCTAATGGGTGCAAGCTACAAACATTTTATCATATTTGAATACAACACCTGATTTTGTTTAATGTGTCTAGTAATAGGATGGAAATAGCTGAACAGAAAAAAAATGTGGATGATGAGAAGCAAAGAACAACCCGACACTCCCTCCTCCACCACACTGTACATAGCTATGGGCGCCTGTATCTGTGGAGAATTTTCATACAAGTTAAAGTGTTACTAAACCCCGAACCCCGCATTCACTATATCTGGTCTCTCCCAGACCCTGCATTCACTATATCCGGTCTCCCCGGACCCTGCATTCACTATATCTGGTCTCTCCCAGACCCTGCATTCACTATATCCGGTCTCCCCGGACCCTGCATTCACTATATCTGGTCTCTCCCAGACCCTGCATTCACTATATCTGGTCTCCCCGGACCCCGCATTCACTATATCTGGTCTCCCCGGACCCCGCATTCACTATATCTGGTCTCCCCGGACCCCGCATTCACTATATCCGGTCTCCCCGGACCCTGCATTCACTATATCTGGTCTCCCCGGACCCCGCATTCACTATATCTGGTCTCTCCCAGACCCTGCATTCACTATGTCCGGTCTCCCCCGGACCCTGCATTCACTATGTCCGGTCTCCCCGGACCCTGCATTCACTATATCCGCTCTCCCCGGACCCTGCATTCACTATATCCGGTCTCCCCGGACCCTGCATTCACTATATCTGGTCTCCCCGGACCCTGCATTCACTATATCCGGTCTCCTCGGACCCTGCATTCACTATATCTGGTCTCCCCGGACCCTGCATTCACTATATCTGGTCTCCCCAGACCCTACACTCACTATATCCGGTCTCCCCGGACCCTGCATTCACTATATCCGGTCTCCCCGGACCCTGCATTCACTATATCCGGTCTCCCCGGTCCCTGCATTCACTATATCCGCTCTCCCCCCGGACCCTGCATTCACTATATCCGGTCTCCCCGGACCCTGCATTCACTATATCCGGTCTCCCCGGACCCTGCATTCACTATATCCGGTCTCCCCGGACCCTGCATTCACTATATCCGGTCTCCCCGGACCCTGCATTCACTATATCTGGTCTCCCAGGACCCTGCATTCACTATATCTGGTCTCCCACAGTACACAGAACATGAAATGCAATTATTTTATTAATTATAAACTGCTAAATACCGTTTCTCATCAGCAGTATATAGCAGTCTTGTGACTTCTATCAGTGTCCAGCAGAGCATTGGTTAATGCTTGTAGGAGTATTATTTCTGATCTAGGAGGATGCAGAACCCCTGACCTCTGTCTTGACAGTGCTGATTGGCCCTGTGCTGATCACGTGCACTCTCCCAAGAAAAAAAAAAAACAACCTCTCTAGCAATACACACCAAATTGAGCATGTACAGAGTGACTCTACACGATATGTCCTATCAAGAGATAAGAGGGGGGCACTGGAAGAAGGGGAGGATCAGAGAAGTCAGGATCAAACAGACTTTTTACACAATGCAGAGGATTAACCCCTTAGGTTCCACAGTGAGTATAACCAGCATGCTTTCCTGCATATACAGACTGATTGTACTGTTGTGGGTTTAGTAACACTGTAATAGTATTGCCGGTCACATGATATGAAGCTTCCTTCGTCTGAATTTCTCATAGAGTGTACTAGGCCTCGGTCTGGTCTAATAGTGGTCATACACTGTGTGATTCAATTAAAACGATCAAATCCACATACTGTCCCTTCTGATTGATTTAGACTCAATTTACATTAGATTTGATTAAACTGAGTTGATCGGTCAGGGTGAAAATGTATTGATTGATTGGACATGAATACGATAATTTTTTGATCGATCAGATCATGAGATTATAGGATGAAAAGGTGCGATCAATAATTTAAGAGCTTAAGTTACGATCATATTTTAACTATCGATCATCATCCAATTCTCTGTGTGTTTCCTGTCGATCCAATGGGTTGTCAATATAGACTGATTATTAACAAGGGGATATTAGCGAGCGCTACCTGAGAAAATAGCCGCTAGAACACCAAAAAGGCAACCAAAAAAACTTCCAATGTAAATATCAATAAAATAGGTGCAGCGCTAAAACAAGGTAAAATACATTAATAAATGGATGTAATTATAAAGTGCAAAGTGATCATCATCATCATATCAACATAAATAAATACATAAGTATAAAGTGCCAGGTATACATCACCACATGGGGATGGTAATGGTGATAAATTGTCCCAAAATTAAATAAAAACGTGAGGATCTTGTACGATCACAATCATCGTGTGTGGGCAACTGATCCGGGGGTGACAGATGAAGTGACTGAATAAGCGAAGTGCTCACTCACCAGAAGCGCGCTTTAAACACGCATTTGAGATTAATCCTGTCTCATCAGGTATAATCAGGTCATCTGCTCCCAGGTCAGGCCAGGTTCCTATACACCATTGGGTCTTTAGGCCGGTGTCACAGCGTCTGGTCACATCTGTGTTGGACTCTTTGGGGTCCCTTGGTGTGTATCACCGCGTATGGTCCCTCTAAGGGGGGCTACAGCATCCAGACGTCACGCCACCGCTGATGGCCACCCTGAAAGACTTATGGTCAGTGTTTTTTACTACTTAACCACATACCGCCCATCCACTGTATAAACACAGCGGCAGGGCGGCACAGCTGGGCAAAACCTTGTTTTAAAACGTGTATTTTGTAAACAGGTAGGGGGCGCGCGTGAGGCGCACCGCCGCCTTACCTGTCCCGCCGATCACAGCTGCGGATGTCAGTCGCCGGGTCACAGCCGGTCGTTACCGGCTATGTCCCGGCGATCGGTGGCAATCGCTGACAGAGAGCACAGCTGCAGTAGCTGTGCTCTCTGTCAGTTCCCTGACAGCTCCAGGACACGCTGATCGGGACAGAAGAGTTTCTCTCTCCCGATCAGCGGTGTTCCCTGCAGTACACACCCTGCCCCCTAGTAAAACACTCCCCCTCACACAGATAACCCTTCCCTGAAAAATAAAGTTAACCCCTTCCTCCCCAGTGCCATTAGTACAGTGTCAGTGTTTTTTTTTTTTGCACTGATCACTGTATTGGTGTCACTGGAGATGTCAGTGACCCCAGGTCAGTACCCCCCAATGTCAGAATGTCCGCCGCAGTCCTGCAGTCCCGCCATAAGTCACTGATCGCCGCCATAAGTTGCTGATCGCTGCCATAAGTTGCTGATCGCCGCCATAAGTCCCTGATCGCCGCCATTATTAGTATAAAAAAAAACCTAAAAATCCCAGTATCTTTCCCGCCATTTGTAAACGTTATAACTTTCACGTAAAAAAATTAATTTACACGTATTGGGTTTTTTTTTAGCAAAGACTTCGCAGAATGCATTTCGGCAGAAATTTATGACTAAATTTGATTTTTAAATTTTTTTTTATGTTTTTCATGTTTTATAGCAAAAAATCCAAAATATTGTTTTTTTTCCTCAAAATTGTCAGCCTTTCTTTTTATAGTGCAAAAAATAAAGACCGCACAGGCGATCAAATACCACCGAAAGAAAGCTCAATTTGTGGGAAAAAAAAGGATGTAAATTTCATTTATGTACCGTATTGCATGACCGCGCAATTGTCCGTTAAACTAGCGCAGCGCTGTACAGCAGAAAAATGGCGGAAATTGCAGTATCTATACCATAGTTTGTAGACGCTATAACTTCCACACAAAGCAATCAATATACACTCATTGGGATTTTTTTTACCAAAAACATGGAGCAGAATACATTTTGGCCTAAATTTATAACCAACTTTGAGTTTACTATATATTTTTTATAGCTGAAAGTAAAAAATATTGTTTTTCTTCAAAATTTTTGGCCTTTTTTGTTTATAGCGTGAAAAATAAAAAGCGCACAGGTGATCAAATACCACCGAAAGAAAGCTCTATTTGTAAATTTCGTTTGGGTGCAGCATTGCATGACCGCGCAATTATCAGTTGAATTAGTGCAGCCGAGTAGCAAAAAGAGGCGTGGTCATTAAGGGGGGTAAATCCTCTGGAGGTCAAGTGGTTAATTTACTCTTTTTGTGGAATAAAGTCATCCCTTTATGCAGTATCACGTTATGTGGTGTCCTTCATTGGGCTCTCCCTGTGAGTGCCGTCATTCGCAGAACCTATCATAGAGGTGACCCAACGCAGTGATACACACCAAGGGACCCCAGAGAGTCCAACACAGATGTGACCAGGGCCTAAAGACCCAATGGTGTATAGGAACCTGGCCTGACCTGGGAGCAGAAGACCTGATTATACCAGATGAGACAGGATTAATCTCAAATGCGTGTTTAAAGCGCGCTTCTGGTGAGTGCGCACTTCGCTTATTCAGTCACTTCATCTGTCACCCCCGGATCAGTTACCCACACACACTGATTGTGATTGTACAAGATCCTCACGTTATTTAATTTTGGGACAATTTATCACCTTTACTATCACCATGTGGTGATGTATACCTGGCACTTTATACTTATGTATTTATTTATGTTGATATGATGATGATGATCACTTTGCACTTTATAATTACATCCATTTATTAATGTATTTTACCTTGTTTTAGCGCTGCACCTATTTTATTGATAGATTGATTATTCCTATACAAAGAGATCGATCGGGAACGAAATCAATCAGTTATGGAAGTGTGTGTGGTCATCACCAATCGTTCAGAAGAGGGGTTATAGCTATTCAATTGTTTGCGGATTTGATCATTTTGATTGAATGATAAAATCGATGCATGTGGCCATTAAGGCAAACTTTTTTTTTTTCTCATTTTGGATGGAGTAAGGGAGGGTTAGAACCCCGGTCAGATTTTATTTTGTCATCTGTGTCCCATTGGGGAGATTTGCCTTCACTTCCTGTCCATAGCCAAACAGGAAGAGAGAGAAAATCCCTCCACAGTGGGGGAATCCCTGGTTGTCACCAGACCTAGTGTCCCCGTTGGAGTGAAAAGTAAAAGAAAATCCCACATTTTGGGTTGTGGCCACAACAGGAATAGAGGGGATCAGCGTCAGGAGTTGTCATATCTACCAATGCCTCTGTAGAGCAGTACTCAGGGTGTCACTCGTTGATGTGGTGTCGGCGGATGGCCCACCATGGCAATTCATGACACTGATTCAAGGCAAGCCCCCAGAGGATGGAAGTCTGAATCCTCCAAACCTGCTCAGCTTCCCACCCTGGAGCACTGATGTGAAATGGGGACTGTGTGATTGGGGGCCTATGTGATGAGAAGACTAGGTGATGGGGGGACTCTGACATAAAGAGGGGAACTCTGATGTATAGGGAGGACTCTGACATAAAGGGGGAAGTTTGACATGATGGAGGAACCTCTAAAGTGATGGGGGGTGCTCTGACATGATGAAAGACCTTTGATGTGATGGGGGGGGGGGCTCTGAAGTGATGGGGGGCTCTGATGTGAAGGGGGGACCTCTGAACTGATTGAAGACCTCTGATGTGATGGGGGGGCCTCTGAACTGATTGAAGACCTCTGATGTGATGGGGGGACCTCTGAACTGATTGAAGACCTCTGATGTGATGGGGGGGCCTCTGAACTGATTGAAGACCTATGATGTGATGGGGGGCCTCTGAAGTGATGGGGGGCTCTGAAGTGATGGGGGGACCTCTGAACTGATGTAAGACCTCTGA